CGCCTGCGGCCTGGGAGCCGGCGGAGGCGGCGCGGCAAGGGTCTGCCGCCACCCGCACCGACGGGCGATCACTCGCATCAAAATGAACGATGCGCCGAGGACGCCCGTCCGCACATTTGGGCCCTGAGCCTGAAGAGTCAGGGCCAGCGCCGTCTGGCGCGTCTCGGCAAAAATGGCCCGTTGGCTCGGAAGGGGGATCTGTTGTGCTCGGCGGGCGGCCTGCAGACTGGGGGCCGCTGGAGGCGGCGCGGCAGCCACGCGAGCCATGCCCAGACGTGCGACCTCGGCGACCTCCTCGACGAAGGCGTTGCTTCCGCGATCGCCTTGTGCGGGAACCAGATGCGAGGGACGAAGGGCTGGCCTGGCGCGTAGCCTGACGACCGGCTGGATTGCAGGCGACCTCCGCGGCTACGGCGGGCAGACCCCCAGCCGCCGCCTGAATTGGCGCAGATGGTGTCGGTTCCTTCTCGACGTTCGCGCGGCGAGTAGGGCGGCTCGAAAGGGAGCATGCGCGGGACGGCCCAGCGGAGGTCGCTGCAGCGAGGGGGCCGCTCGCAGAGGGCCGAGCGCCTGCAACATAAACCATCCGACTCGCACCTGGCAGCCCCGAGGCTGAGCTTGGCAAGAACGCGGAGGGGGCCCCTCCGAGCGACCGCGGCAGGTCGCGAAGGCTCGCACGAGCCGCACCGATATCAGGAGGCCCTGCGCGCGCAGCAGAGGCTAGCCGGGTCGAAGACGCCACGCCGCTCGGGGCGGACCCAGCGCTTGCCGCAGAGGCTCGCTGGGCACCGCCCCCCAACGCCGGGACCAGACCAGGCAGGGACGCGGACGGTTCCCCGCAGGCCCCGAGCGACCGCGGCAGGTCGCGGTGGCTCGAGGGAGCCACGCCGTTCGCAGGAGGCCCTGCGCTGGCAGAGGTTGGCCAGGCCGCGTCCGCAACTCCCTGATCGCTGGCGTACGCTAACCCCGAGGTTGCGCTCGCCACCAAGGAGGCCAAGCGTGGCAAGGCAACGGGGGGGTCCACTCGTACCCCGAGCGACCGCCACAGGTCGCGAGCGTTCGAGCGGGCCTCATCGCAAGAAAGGGGCCCTGGGCTCGCAGCACCGGCGTCCCAGGTAGCGTCCGCCACACTGCTCGCAAGAAGACCCGCGTTGAACACTGAAGGTCTGGGTTCCCTTGGAGGCAGGGGTGGGGCCCCTAGGCAAGGGATCGCCCATTGCCAACTTCCGCTGTCAGAAAACGGAAACCCAACCGCGCAACGGTTGTGCGGCGGCGGCACCCGAGTGCCCGCCTCCAGGCTAGCGAAGCCGGGAAGTGGCACCACCTGCCAGACCGCGGGGCCCGACAGCGCCTCGAACCCAGGTGGCGGGTGGAAGGACAACACTGTCGAAGCGCCCCCTGGCGTAGGCGCTGGCGCGGGTGCCGGCGCAGGCGCAGGCGTCGGTGCTGCCGCCGTCAGTGCTGGCGTTAGTGCTGGCGTCGGTGCTGACCGCGGTGCTGGTGTAAGCGTTGGCGCTGGAGCCGGCATAAGCGCAGGCGTCGGTGCTGTTCCCGTCAGTGCTGGCGTTAAGGCTGGCGTCGGTGCTGGCCTCAGCGTGGGCGTAGGCGCTGGAGCTGGTGCCGGCGTAAACGCAGGCGTCGGAGCTGCCGCCGCCAACGCTGGCGCTAGTGCAGGCGTCGGTGCTGGCCTCGCTGCGGGCGGAGGCGCGGGCGTTGGTGCCGGCGCAAGCGCAGGCGTCAATGCTGTCGCCACCAGTGCTGGCGTTAGCGCTGGCGTCGGTGCTGGCCTCGGTGCGGGCGAAGGCGAGGGCGCTGGCGCCGGCGAGAGCGCATGCGCGGGGGCCGCCGCCGTCAATGCTGGCGTTCGTGCTGGCGTCGGTGCTGGCCTCGGCAGCTCCAACCCGGGAGGGGGCTGGAGGCCGACGCGCGACGGCAAGGCGGCCCAGGGACTGCTCCGCGGCGGAGTGCCCGGAGCGTGAGCCGCTGTGGCGGCTGAGGGAGCGGTGCGAACCCCTCCCTGCGGGGCCGTAACAGCATCGCTGGAGGGGCGCATACCAACTCCCTCAGATCCGCCGAAAGCCGGAGCGCCCACCGCCAGAGCAAGCGGAAGAGGCACCGCGCGAAGCAACTCGCCGCTGGGCACCGAGGGATGCCCGTGAGCACCAGCCTCCACGTCAGCGAGTGTGACGAGCGGCCCCACGGGCGCGGGAGCGCCCTCCAGCCTCCCGAGGCCAGGCGGCGGACCCCCCCGCAAGCGCGTGGGAAGCGATCGTTGCTCGTGCTGCTCGCCGCGCGCAGCGTCGTCGTGCTGCGCCGTCGTCCTGCCCTCGTCAGCGGCCACTGGCGTAGCGGCCTGGGAGACTGGAGCGGTGAGGCCAGGAGAAGGGCCAACGCGCCTGGCGTTGTGGCGCGGCTCGGGGTCCAACCCCGGAGATGGCCGAAGCGGCCAGACGAGAGGAACGCCACATCTGGGGGGGACAGCGGCGTCCGACGCGGCACCTCGGATCGGCGCCCGCGCATCCGGGACGGAGACGCCGCGCAGGGGCACGTCAGGAGACGCAAGTTCGGCGGCCGCAGCAGAGGCGGCGAAGCACGTGAACGGCGCACAGCGCCTGACGTCAGCCCTGAACCAAGAGGCGGTATTGAGGGAAGGAGCATGAGGGGGGAGGAGGCTGAGGTTAGAAAGGACCTCCTTCTCCCACCCCTCCGCCTGGAAAGCTCTCGGCGCAGGGTGTAACGAGGCGGCGCGCGAGCTGACTTGGCCGGCGGCTGAAGAGCTCCCGAGCAGCGGTGAACCGACGCCCTTTGCGGGGCATCTCTGGGCGGTGGGCGGAGCGGCAGATTGCGCGGCGGCGTGGGTCCCAGTACACGGCGCGTGAGCGTCGTCGCCGTCGTCGTCCCGCCCCTCCCCCACCGAGGAAGGAGGAAGAGGAGGGGGCAAAGAGGGGCGAGAAGTAGTTTGTGAGTGCGCACCCGCGAACGCCGCAGGCCGTTGAGCCATGGGCCACAGGCGCCTGACAGACAGGGGGCCTGGAGGACAGGGCCGTCCTACCTGCAGGCTAGAGGCCGCAGGACGGGTGCACGCTGCCTGTAGGGCGGCGGGCAGCACCCGAGCGGAAAGGGGAAACCCTAACCGCCACCGATCGCCTGCCCGAGGCGAACGGGCGCAACCCCTCGTGAGCACAAGTTGACGGGGAAGGAGATCCCGTGCAACCGAGCTCGGGGGGGCAGCGCTGGATCTCCGCTTCGCGGAAGACCACGCGCTGTACACGTAGAAGGTGGCCGCCGCGTAGACGACGAAGCGGTCCTCCGGGTCGGCCGCCTGCGCAGGCCCCTGGCGCCCCGGCCGCGCGCGCGCGCGGAAGGGGGCGAAGGGGGCCGGAGTGGGGCAAGCTCTAGGCCGAGAAGCTGCAGACGACTGCGTAGCGGGCGCGAAGGGGATAGAGAGGTGCATGAGGATGATGAGGATGATGACGTTGATGAGGATTATGATGATGAGGATCACGTTGATGCTGATGAGGATTATGATGATGTTGATGAGGGTAATGACGATGAAGATGACGTTGATGAGGATGATGACAATGATACCGATGCTGGTGATGATGTTGTGGATGATGCTGATGATGGTGATGATGATGATTTCTGATGCTGATGATGTTGTATCCAACGCTGCTGGTCCCTCTGGTATTTCGCGACTCGGCCAAATGTGGGCACGGCATCATCATCATCAGCATCAGCATCAGCATCAGCATCATCATCATCATAAGTATCATCATCATCATCATCATCATCATCATCATCATCATCATCATCATCATCATCATCATTATCATTATCATCATCATCATCATCGTCATTGTCATCGTCATCGTCGTCATCATCATCGTCGTCGTCATCGTCATCATCATCATCATCATCGTCACCATCATCATCTTCATCTTCATCATGATCACCGTAGGGGCTGAAAGGCAGGAGGGCCAAGATCAGATATGGATGGAAAAATCAGACGGAACAAAAAGGACAGGACAGGTGTCGGACAGGAGGGCCAGATCAGCCAAGGACGGAACAGGAGGGTCAAGGGTCGGAGTGGAAAATCAGATATGCCCCCCCCTAAGGGCTGAAGAGAAACATCGGTCGAGACGGGGGGATCTCGAAAGCGGTCCCCGGATGAAACTTTCCTTGTTCTGCGAATGTGTGTTTTTTTCGACGGCCCACGGGCCCGAAGACCGCCTCTGCCCGAGCGCCCAGTCTTACCTCGGGCCTGTGCCCCTACACGCGGATTTTGGGCGAAAAGTAAAGAATAGTCAAACCATACTCCAAACAAAAATGTCAAGAGAGTCGAACAATCGTTCCCAGACTATTTTTTCCTATCTTTGAATCTGCCCCCTGTAGAGAGGGAGTAACTACAGCTGGCCCTCCTCGGACGCCAGATGCCCCCCCTGGCCGGCTCCCGCTGGCCGGGCAGCGCCTCCCGAACGCCGAGCCGCGCGCCCGAGGCGGGCCCGGCGCAGGGCCCGATTCACGAACAGCCGAACATGCCGTAAAAGCGGCCGGGTGATACAGCCTACCCTAAAATAATAATAGTAATAATGATAATACTAATTGTAATCATAATAATAATAATAATAATAATGATACTAATAATAATAATAACATACACACAGAAACATAAACTGCTGGCTCTCCGCGCAGGTTTCTCGGATCCGCGCCTTGGCCCCCCCTGCGGCGCCTCCGGCGCCGCCCCTGGCGCGCTCCGCGCGCCAGGACGGGGGGTCCAGCGCGGATCCAAGAAATCCGCGCGGAGCGCCCAAAAAATGTTTCTGTTTTTGTTCTTCATCGATACCCATATGACAAGGATGCGCGGAAGGAATGCGTGTGAACGTTGAGGTTGGCCAGCGAACGTCGCGAAGGATGGGCCGAAGGGGCAAGGAAGGATGCAAGTGGTGCCCTTGGGGAAGGTTGCCCAACCTTACTAATATGCGGGTTGACTGTAGCTGGGCCTTGTGCAGCTGCTGCATGAAGACGCAGGTCGCCGAGAGGTCCCACGAGGCTCCGGGCGGCGGCGCCTCGACGAGCACCACGAAGGGCGTGTACGGGGAAAGCCTCTCCGCGTCCTCCCACCTCGGGTCCCCGCCAGCGGGCGCTCGGATCAGAGTGAGGATCGGCGGCGAGCGAGGAGGAGAAGTGAGAAGGAGAAGCCTTCTCAGAAGGCGGTGGGACTTCTCAGAAACCCTCGCGCAATCTGAGAGGCTTCTTGTCTCTTCCGGGCAGGCTTAGAAAACGTCTCTCAACGCCGCGGGACTGCCGAGCCTTCCCGGAAGGCCCGCCGCTTCTCACTTCCCACCCTGGGAACGACGAGGGAGGAGGGAATCCACGACGACGATGGCGACGAAATAAGAGGGACGACAACGAGATGCCGACGACGGACGACGACGACGACGAGGGAGAAGGAGGAAGGACGACCACGGAGACAACGACGACGGAAACGACCACGACGCCAAGAGGACGACGACGACGACGACAAGGAAAGACAGAGGACGACGACGGCGACGACGACGACGAGGGAGGACGGCGACGACGACAACGACGACGCAAGAGCGCGCGCGCGCGCGCTTTTGTTGAAAGTCCGTGTTGCGAAATCTGGTGTATTTTTATATCTTTTCGATACACGATTTTGAAATCCTTCCGGAACCCTGTGTCCGAAGGATTTCGGCATGCGCGCGCGACGACGCGCGCGTCTGCACCTCGTTCCATGTTTTGCAGAGGACTCTCGCGACGGCACGCGCGCAAGGGCGTTCGAAAGATTTCGAAATGCGCGCGCGAAGCCCATTGGGTAGTATGTTTTGAAAATCTTGAAAAACCCATGGTTTGCTTAAGATTTCGCAAGAGCGCGCGCGCAAGCTTTTTTAGAACATCAGTGTTGCGAAACCATGTGTTTTTGTATGTTTGTTTGGAAACTCGATTGTGAAATCCTTCCGAAACCGGAGGTTTTTGAAGGATTTCGGCATGCGCGCGCGACGACGCGCGCGTGCGCACTTCGTCCCATTTTTTCAAGGGACTCATGAACATTTACGATATTTGATAAACAAGTGTGCACGCGTAGTTTTGTTTGCGGAAGATGGTGGGTGGGGGGGGCGATACCGGCCTGGCTGGGATAATATGAATTCATATTCAGGGTGGACGATTTGCAGCATCAAATGTACATTGCAATACGAGAAGGCGTACCGTTAACTCCCGGGGCGGGGTAGAGTCTATTCTTCTTCGAAAAAGGAGAATTCACTTTGACTGTATTGAAGCTGCCCTCTCCACTGCTCGTACAACATCCCATCCTCCCACCCGCAACTTAGTCGCAAGACTTCTTAAGACCGTGACGGTGGGTACCAAATGGCACTTGGCAACGACACCGACGCCGACGACGACAGCGACGACGACGACAACGACGCCGACGCCGACGACGACTACGACGACACCGACGATGTCTCCGACGACTTCGACGACGACGACAGCGACGACGACGACGACGACGGCGACACCAACGACGACGACGACAACGGCGGCGACGACGAGGACGACGATGACGACGCCGACGACGACGACGGCGACGAAGACGACGCCGACGACGAGGCCGACGACGACGACGCCGACGACGACGGCGACGAAGACGACAATGACGACGTCGCCAACGAAGACGACGAAGACGAGGCAAAAGGGAGGACGACGACGGCGACAGCGACGACAACGACGAGGGAGGAAAGAGGACGGCCACGACGCGAACGACGAAGAAGGAGGAAGGACGGCGACGCCAACGACAACAACGACGAGGGAGGAGGGAAGACGACGACGACGACGACGAAACAGTCGGGACTACAACGAGACGCCGACGACGACGACGACGCGGGAGGAGGAAGGACGACAACGGCGACAACGACGACGGAAACGACCACGACGCCAAAGAGGACGACGACGAGGAAAGACAGAGGACGACGACGGCGACGACGACGACGACGACGGAGGAGGGAGGATGGCGACGACGACGACGACGCAAGAGCGCGTGCGCACGATGTTGTTGAAAATCCATGTTGCGAAACCCTGTGTGTTTTGCATGTTTTCGGAAAAACGATTTCGAAATTCTTCCTACACCGGAGGTTATTGAAAGACTTCGGCATGCGCCAGCGACGACGCGCGCGCGTGAAGTTCGTTCCATTTGTTGCACGAAGATTCTCGCGTCGGCACGCGCGCAAGGGCGTTTGAACGATTTCGACATGCGCGCCCGCGAAGCCCGTTTGGTAGTATTTTGTGAAAATCTTGAAAAACCCATGGTTTGCATAAGATTTTGGAAGAACGCGCGCGCGCTTTTGTTGAAACTCCGTGTTGCGAAACCCTGTGTTTGCATGTTTTTGGAAACTCGATTTTGAAATCCTGCCTACACCGGAGGGATTTCGGCATGCGCGAGCGACGACGCGCGCGCGTGCACTTTGCCATAGTTTTTGCGAGTTTTTTTTTTCAACAACAAAAAAAACTCATGACTTTTGATAAACGAATGTGCGCGCATAGCTTTTTTTGCGGGGGATGGCGGGGGGGCCGATACCGGTTTGGCTGGGAGAATATGACTTCACAGGTAGGATGGACATTTGGTCAGAACCCTGTGTTTTGCATCGGTTCCCGGGGGATCTTTAACCCCGGGGGGGGGGAGGGTGGTAGAACCTATTGTATTGTTAGAAAGGAGAATCAATCACTTACTCAACTTGAAACTGTCCTCTCCACTGCCCGTGCCAACATCCCACCCTTCCACCCGCAACTTGGTCGCAAGACCTCAGAAAACCATGACGGTAGGTACCAAATGGCACTTGGCAACGACACCGACGCTGACGACGACAGCGACAACGACAACGACGCTGCCGACAATGACTACGACGACGCCGACGACGTCTCCAACGACTTCGACGACGACGCAAACGACGACGACGACGACACCAATGACGACGACGACGATGACGACGCCGACGACGACGACGACAAAAACGACGACGACGACGCCGACGACGACGATAACGAAGACGACGTTGACGATGTCGCCAACGAACACGACGACGAGGCGAGGGAGGAGGAGGGAGGACGACGGCGGCAACGACGACAACGACGATGGAGGAGGCAGGACGGCGACGACGCGAACGACGAAGAAGGAGGGAGAACGGCGACGCCGACGACGACAAAGACGAGGGAGGACGGAGGACGACGACGACGACGAAACAGGCGGGACGACGACGAGACGCCGACGACGGACGACGACGACGACGACGGGGGAGGAGGAAGGACGACCACGGCGACAGCGACGACGGAAACGACGACGACGCCGAAGAGGACGACGACGACGAGGAAAGACAGACGACGACGATGACGGCGACGACGACGACGACGACGAGGGAGGAGGGAAGACGGCGACGACGCGAACGACGAAGAAGGAGGGAGGACGGCGACGCCGACGACGACAACGACGAGGGAAAAGGGAAGACGACGACGCCGACGACGACGACAACGACGACGACGGCGACGAAACTGGCGGGACGACGACGAGACGCCGAAGACGGACGACGACGACGACGACGAGGGGGGAGGAAGGACGACCACGGAGACAAGGACGACGGAAACGACGACGACGCCGAAAAGGAAGACGACGACGACGACGACGACGAGGAAAGACAGGGGACGACGACGGTGGCGACGACGACGAGGAGGGAGGAGGGAGGACGGCGACGACGACGACGACGCAAGAACGCGCGCGCACGCTTTCGTTGAAAATGCCTGCTGCGAAACAGTGTGGTTTTGTCTGGTTTTGGGACACACTATTCTGATATCCTTCCGAAACCGGAGGTTGTTGAAGGACTTCGGCATGCGCGCGCGACGGCGCGCAATTCGTTTCTTTGCAGGCGAGTTTCGCGACAGCGCTCGCGCAAAGGCGTTCGAAAGATTTCGACATGCGCGCGCGAAGCCCGCTGGGTAGCATTATTTGATTAAAAATTTTGAACATCCTATGGATTTGCCAAGATTTTACAAAAATGCGCGCGAAAAATTTTAGGGACATACGTGTTCCGAAACCCTGTATGTATGTTCTTTGGCCACTCGATTTTGACATCTCCCCAGAAACGTTAAGAGGATTTCGGCATGCGCGCGCGACGACGCGCGCGCGTTCACTTCGTCGTATCGGTTGCGAGGGTTTTGTGGAAACTTATGATTTGTTATAAACGAATGTGCGCACATAGTTTTCAACGGAGGATGGCGGCGGGGGGGGTCGATACCAGTTTGGCTCGGATCATATGAACTCACAAGAAGGATGGGCATTGTGTCGGAATCTTGTGTTTTGCATCAGTGCCTGGGGGATCTGTAACCCCGGGGGGGGGGTATAACATATTTTTCAATCAGGAGAACCCACCAATGCTCAACTTGAACTTGCCCACTCCACTGCTCGCGCAAACATCCCACCCACCCGCCCGCAACTTGGTTTGCAAACCCCATGCTGAAGCGATTGAGATGAGTGGTTGGTGTTGGCTGGTGCATCTCCGCGGCGGCGCTAGGCCGCGCAGGCTGGTGCGCGCAGCGGCCAGCTTGTTTGGCGCGACCGACGCGAACGCGGTGGCGCTGACCGCTTGGCACGTCCCAGCGAGCACCTCAGTGCGAGTCGTTGACTTGGGCGGGCGCGGTATCATGGCAACGCCGGCTACGGTAGACGCGATGCTGATAGTGGCGATGCTGGCGACGATGCTGACAGCGGCGACGGGGCAGCCAGTGACAGCGCCGATGCTGATCACGCCGGCGGCGATGACGGCGTCTTCGCGTCGGTGATGAAGGGGCTGGAAGGGGTTCGAAGTGCGCGCGCGGCAGACGCGCGAGAGAGGCCTGCAGTGCATCATTTGACCCGGATCGTGCCACCCCAGCACGCCCGCAAGGGGCGTTCGAACGATTTCGAGACGCGCGCACAGCCCTGTATGAAAATGTTGAACAACCTGTGTTTTGTTTTCAAGAATCAGCACAAACGCGCAAGTTTTTTTTTTTCAACTCCACGTTGCGAAACCATATGCTTCGTATATCTGTGTGTACATTCGATTTTCACATTCTTGCGAAACCGATGGTTGTTGAAGGATTTCGGCACGCGCGCGCGACAGCGCGCGCGTGGGCACTTCGTCCCATCTACTGCAAGGGATTCTTGAACTCTTATTATTTGCCACCGAGAACTTCAGTACGAGTCGTTGACTTGGGCGGGCGCGGTACCATTGCAACGTCGACAACGGTAGAGGCAATGATGATCGTCCGATGCTGGTGACGACGATGACGACGACAACGGCAAGGCCAGTGACAGCGCCGACGCTGATCACGACGACGGCGATGACGGCGTCCTCGCGTCGGTGATGAAGGTTTTGGGAGGAGTTCGGCATGCGCGCGCGGCCGACGCGCGAGAGTGGCCCGCATGGCATCATTTGACGCGGATCGTCCCCCCCCCACCCACCCACCCGCGCGCACGCAAGGGCGTCCGAACCATTTTGAAGGGCGGCGCGAATTGGAAACTTATGGTTCCTTCCAGAATTCGCCAGGTTTTATGTTAATCATATGTTCTGAACACTCGATGATGAAATCCCCACGAACCCTACGATGTATGCAAGATTTCGGCATGTGCGCGCACGACGCGCGCGTGCGCGCTTCGTCCCATTTGTTGCAGGGGTCCTTGCGATAGCACGCGCCCAGAGGCACCCGAAAGATTTCGAAATGCACGCGCGAGAGGCACGTTTTGGCAGCACTTGCTGGTAATGCTGAAAGGCCGATCGCTTCATCAAGAAGTCGCAGGGGCCGCGAGGGCAGGTTTTTGACACATCTCGTTGGGAAGCCATTCGTGTTTACATGTTTTCGGGGCACTTGATGATGAAATCATTACGGGGCCCGGGCTTATTTATAGGAATTTCGGCATGCGCGCGCGACGACGCGCCCGTGCGCACTTCGTCGCGTTTTTTGCAACATCTTTTCGCGCCAGCACGCGCGCAAAGGCGTTTGAAGCTCGTTTGGTAGCATGTTCTGAAGATGTTGGGAAACCTATGGATTTCTTCAGGATTCGCAGGACGGCGCGCGCACGTGTGTTTGAAAACCCGCGTTGCGAAACCATGCAATTGTTTTATATTTTTTTTGACACTCGATTTTGGAGCCCGTCCGAAACCGAAGGGTTTTGAAGGACTTCGGCATACGCGCGTGACGACGCGCGCGTGTGCATGTCGTCTCATTGCTTGCAAAATATAATCGACAACGCGCGCAATTTGTTTGTAGAGGATGGCGGGGGGAGGGTCGATACCAGTCCCCCTGGCATGGTGTAGATGCATATTTAGGATGGGCAATGGGGCATAATCATATGAAAATTACAATACGAAAAGGTTGACCGATAAACCCGGGGGGATGCGAATTTCTTAAAGGGAAAAAAGAATATACGTGGTACAATCTATGAGGCGTAATACGTCTGTCGTAATCTACATGGTGCAGTCTAAGTGCTGCACCCAGTGTGCAGCAATCTGTGTTGTGATGTTGTGCTATCTGGCGGCGGCAACGAGCGGCGACGGGGCGGCGACGGCGACAACGTGGCCGCCAGGGCGGCAGACAGGCCCAGACGACGGGCGGCAACGAGGTGGCGACGCGGCGGCGACGGCGACAGCACAGCCGCCAGAGCGGCAGGCAGGCCCGGTCCCTCAGACAAGAAGCAAGCCACCCCGGAGTGCAAACGCTGTTCGGGGAAAGACGGCTCCTGGATCCGCGGGCCTCCCTGCAGGACCAGTTTTTCGTCCCGGGCCGCCTTCACACAACCATTGGGCCCGGGGAAGGCCCTGGCAACCCAGAAACGGCGGAGAACATCAGAACCCGTGTCAAGAAGGCCGAACACACAGCAAAAACAAGAAGCCTTCGAAGGTCCTCGCGGAACTCTTGGATCGGCGCTGGTCCCCCTATCCTAGCGCGCGGAGCGCACCAAGGGCGGCGCCAGAGGCGCCGCCAGAGCGGTCCAGCGCAGATCCAAGAAATAAGCGGGAAACTCTAGGAGTTCATGTTTACGCAATCCTTGTTTCTTCGAGCGTCAATGAGGGCGCGTTTTCCGCATGGACCCGCTTGTCGAAGCAGGGCGAGTTGAGACGACGGCAGCGGTCCACGGTCCCATCCTGGGGTCTACGCGAGCAAATTTTCCGAGCTGCGTCCAGCCGTGGCGACGCCCCCACGAAGGCCAACTGCCGTAGTCTCAGCTCGCCCTCCTCTGAATCTGCTTCCTGGCTGCTTGTTGCCCCCTGGGCACCTCTCCACGATACCCATCCGGACAGCGCCAGCGCCGCGCAGGCGCTCCACGCGCCGCAGCAGGGCGGCGTCGCCCTGCTGCAGCAGCTCCGCAGTCCTGGCCGCGCCGGCGCTGCCCCCCGCAATGCCCAGGCTCGCAGCGGCGACGAAGACCGTGGGCTGCCCGGCGTCGAGGAGGGTCGCCTCGTGGGCGCTGCTTCATATTCATGGGGGGGCGATCAGCGGGGGGATCAGGAAAAAGGTGCGCCTTTCGTTCCCCTCTCAGGCCCCAGGGGGCCCCGTTCGGGCCCCTCGGGTTCACGACAGGTGCACCTGTCCAGAAGGAGGAAAAGACGCCATAAACATAAACTTTTGGCGCTCCGCGCGGGTTTCCTGCATCTGCGCTGTCTTCTCCGACTGCCCCCCACCCCCCCCATTGCATCGCCCCCCCATTTCGCAGCGCCCGTGCCTCGATCGCCTCAGGCTGCGCCGGGTCGCCGCCCTCCCCCGCCACGCGGAGCACCTCGCTGCGCAGGCCGCTCGCGGGAGAGGAGAAGGCGGCACATGCGCACGAGCTGTCGGAGGTCCACGCGGTGCTCTTGGGCCGGCCTCGGGAGCCCTCTGGCGCCGCAACCTGGCGCGCTCCGCCAGGGATGAGGGTGCAGCGTTAGGTCGGGCGTTTCACCCTACAGGCGGATCTGGAACGAAAAACAAGAGATAGTCAACTCATATTCCAAATAGCTAAAGGAAATACTCAAAAAATCGTCCCCAGACTAGATTTCTGGATTCTGTTTGAATATTCCTGCTGTAGAGGGACAGGCCCGACTTCAGTCCAGCGCCGATCCCAGCAAACCGCGCGACCCACGAACGCTTATATGCGTGTGCCGGTTTCTCTTCTCCGATCGGCAGCAGTGCGCCCGTTACGCTGCCCTGCGTGGCGGAGAAATCCAGCTCGACCAAGGCGCCCGTCCCCGGGACACCGCCGATGGCGGTGCCCCCCTCGACTTCCGCTCCGTCCGCGCCAACGGGAACGGTGGCTTGGAGGATGGCTCCGGTGTTCGTGTTGTGTATCCGGACGAGGCGTGTTCCCGCTGGTAGGGGGAACACATGCGAACCCCACCCCTACCCCCCACGATTTTTCTCAGGGGAGGGTGGGGTTTACTTCGTTCGGGAGCTCCCGAGCGAAGCGAACCTCCCCCTCCCCCTCAGAAGTCGTGGGGGGGTAGGGGTAGGCTTCGCATGTGGCCCCCTAGCTGGCTCACCCGGCGGGGAGGGCACGAGCCCCTCGTCGATGGCGAAGGGGCCCACCCCCGCCGAGATGTTGCCGCAATTGCCCTTGTAGTCCACCTGCGGTGCCGCGAAGGACACCTGCCCGAAGGTGTAGTCCACGTCGGCGCCGGGCACCGAGGGCGGTCCCACAATGGCCATCTTGCTCGTCAGCACGTCGGCGCCCCCGAGGCCATCGATCTGCCTCGCGTCCGGGGAGCCGAAGATCCGCAGCACGACAGCGTCTCTCAGCGGTCCCTCGGGGGGCAGGTCCACGCTGCGCAGGTAGACGCCCTTGCTCGAGCCGCCGCGCATCACGCACGCCCTTATGGTGCGCTGCATGATGGACCGCCGTGAGGAGGTGGGCTCGCGGAGCTGCCCCGCCAGCCGCGGGGACGACGTCGCGGTGGCGGCTTTGACTGGGCCGCGCTTTCTCAGGCTACGGATGGCGAGGAAGAGGAGGGGGACGAAGAGGTTGAGGAGGCGCGCGCGACGATAGGACGCGCTGCGAGGATTCGGTCAGGTGACACCCCATTCGACGTGCGGGGCTGGGAAGGTCCAGGGTATGCACCACCCTGTCTGACCAGCCGCCCGAGGAGTTCGGCGCACAGATGCCCCAGCGCCTGTAGACACACAACTCCTTCGCCGAACTCCTTCGCCACACGCTCTGGCCGATCCAACGGCGTGCTGCACGCGCCGTGCCTCTCGGAGGGGCCACGGGCGGGGCCGAGGGGCATCAGAGGCCGAGCCCCATCCCGACGCCCCGGCGGCCGAGGGCAGCGACGGGGCGCCCGGGGCGGCGCGCACCCGTCAGGGCTCCGGCCAGTCAACGACCGCGCCCGCTGCTGAAGCTCCGCCCACGAAGCCACGAGGGGCCCACGAGCGCAGGGCCAGAGGCAAGCCGGTCGCAACACCTCGCGGCGTCCGGGGTGCGCGCGCCAGCTGCCCCCCGGCGCCCGGCTGCATCCCAGCGCGCCCGAGCTGCTCGACGCGAGCAGGGGTGAGCTCTGCAGCCGACGAGGGACAGGCGGTAAACTCACACGGGGAGGAGGAGGAGGAGGAGGAGGAGGAGGAGGAAAAGAAGGAGGAGGAGGAGGAGGCCCCTCCCCCCTCCTGCTGCCGCGAGATGCGAGAGGCCGCGGGCCACAGTCCACCCCGAGTCTGGTCTGGCTTCGGCTCTCTGGCAGTTGCTCCCTCGGCCCCACCGCGGTGTGCAAGAGCTTCGCTTTGCTGCAGGCCGCCCGCATATCTGAGGCCAGAGGTGGCAGCCGACACACGAGAGACGTTCCCGGATTGGCTCCAACACGCTCTCGAGACGAACCAGGCGGCCCAAGGATGGCCCCCGAAGGGTCCAAACGGCTCCCTTGGGCAGTCTTGGGGGCACCCAAGGCCAGGCCACGGGGCACGAACCGATTCACTGTTTTCTGGACTGTCGCCTTCGAATCCTAAGGGCATCAAAGACAGGCCCGAACTGGCCCACCCACCAAAGCCTCTGTTCTTTTGGCGTGTGGAAGACGCCATCGTCGTCATCGCCACTCCCAAGGACATTCAGGAACAAGGAAATCTCGCTTGGAGGATTTCTGGTGTGGAAATCGACGCCACGTATTAAAAGCAACGCGAAATTGTAACCTGCGGTGCCACTGGATACCATTTGGGGGCTCGAGAACCATCATGGCTGCACGTTCCCATACACTGACCCCCCCGAGCGCACGAGGACGGCTCGGCTGCCAGCCAAGGAGGCGCATTCAATGTGTATAGCGTTAGTTCGCCGCCGATTTCGATCGCAGAGGCGACGTCCAAAAGCGAAGCGGTGCGCCCCGAAACTAACGAAGCTGCCAAGAAGCTGCGCGGGGATCGCGGCAACCGAGGCCTTCCGGGGAGCGACAGAAAAGTGGGGGCTCCAGAGCGCCGTGTCATTGGACCACCCAAACAAGCCGTGAGGAGCCCGCCCGCACCCAGAACCACGGCGCACAGGGAAGCGGGGCACCAGGATCGGGGAGGCCCGAGGCGCGCGCCGGTGCGCGGCCTTGCCGCAACGCGGAGCGCGGGGGGCCGCGGGGACACCGAGAAGGGGGAGACGGCGAGGTGGGGCCGCAGGCGGCCCCTCCGCTCGCGCGCCGCCCGCCCCTCCCGTCGGCGCCGCTCTCTCGCTTCACCCCTCTGCTTCCCTCGCGCCCCCGTGCCGCCTCGCCTCTCGCGCCGCCTCGCCCTGGCGCCGCGGGGCGGCACCGGGGCCCCGTCCCAGGGACCATTCAGGGACACACTGATAAGGGACACGTTCAAGGCCACATCAAGGGACAGATTCAGGGCCACATTCAGGGACACATTGAGGGACACATTCAGGGGCACATTGAGGGCCACTTGAAGGGACACATGAAGAGTACATCAAGGGGCACACAAAAAAGCTCGGAAACATCCATCGACTCCCAGATTTGGCCAAGATCTTGCCGCGTCACAAGTCCTTCATTATCACCTCTCTGACCCGATCACCCTTGCCCCTTCCCGCCCCCCCGCTCGAAGGCGACGAACGCCGAAATGTTGCGTGGAATGAGGAAATGGCGCATCTTCTGGCGCGCGCGCGCTGATCTCGACATGTGGTCGCAGTGGTCGCTGACGATTCGGGTAACAGGTCTGGAACCTCGTGCGAGGCGCGCGAGAATGGCAATGGCATGCGCCCGAGGCTATCCGTGGCCGCTTGATGGTTGCGCGCGGATGGCTCTTCGGAGATGGTGAATGCGGAGAGGGAGGTCATGGAGGCACCCAGGGGTGGCACCAAGGGCACATGATGACCCGTTCCTTCGCGATGATCAGGCAGGTCAAAAGAAAGACAAGCGCGGAAGCAAGGCGGTCGCAATTGGCGCTGGCACAACACTTCGGCCACCAAAACAATCGACCCACGAGCAACAAGTATCCTGGCGAAAGGCCAAACCATATGCAGTTGTGGGTACCGCAAGTGTGAGTATCTTCTTCGGTGAAGCTCCCTATGGGGCCACGAAGCGCCGCACTGGGGGGGGGAAACGCATGCGGGCGGTAGCACTGTGGCCTTCGGTGGAGCTCCCTGTGGGGCCCCGAAACGCTATACATGGTGGGAGTAAATGCCAATGTGGGTATGTGGGACGCATGCGGGCGGTCCCGCTGGGGGCTTCGGTGAAGCTCCCTATGGGGCCACGGGGCGCTGCACTGGGTGGGGGGGGGAACGCCTGCGGGCGGTAGCACTGGGGCCGTCGGTGGAGCTCCCTATGGGGCCACGAAGCGCTGTACTGGGTGGGGGCTTCGGTGGAACTCCCAATGGGGCCACGGAGCGCTGTACCGGGTGGGTGAAAATGCCGAATTGGGTTTCCGGGACACATGCGGGCGGTCCCACTGGGGGCTTCGGTGGAGCTTCCTATAGGGCCACGGAGCGCTGTACTGGGCGGGTGAAAATACCAAATTGGGTATGTGGGACGCATGCGGGCGGTCCCACTGGGGGCTTCGGTGGAGCTTCCTATGGGGCCACGGAGCGCTGTACTGGGCGGGTGAAAATACCAAATTGGGTATGTGGGACGCATGCGGGCGGTCCCACTGGGGGCTTCGGTGAAGCTCCCTATGGGGCCACGAAACTTCCTACTGGGTGGATGAAACGCAGGGAGGAAGGAGGGAGGAGGAGGGAGTAAGGAGAGAGGATAGAGGGAGGAGGGACGCGAGACCGTCTCGTCAAAACGAGGACCCAACACCACAGGATGGGGACCTTTGGGGCCAAGGGCTCATGAAAATGAAGGGGCCCCAAGGATCACCGACATGAGAAATAGAGGAACGCCGCAATCAAGTCGAAGGGAAGCCCCTTCCCATTGATCCCTGCTGGGGAGGGGGCGGGGCAGAGCCCAGATCAGAATACCGCCCCTCCCGGGTCCCGGAGGGTCCCGAGGGGGGTCGCTGGCGCGGTTCCCCGGGGAGGTCCTGCCAGGAGGGTCGGCGGAACCGACCGTGCGGCCTGCGCAATGTACCACAAGAGGGCCCAAAAAGGGCTCGAGAGAGCCCCAAGACGGCCTTGAATGGCCCCGAGAGATGCCCAAGACGGCCCAGACAGGCGCCCAACACGGCTTCGGAAGGCACTAGACAGACCCCAGATGGCCCCCGACAGCCCCAAGATGACCCTCAAACCCCCCCCAAATAGACGGCTCGACAGACAGACCCAATACGGCCCCAGAAAGGCTCCCCCAGTGCTCCCAAATGGTCTCCCCAGCAGCTTGGGGAGAACGTGACCGCTAGTGTGGGCACAGTATCGCTCGACCTTTCACAACAAATGTATTTTCCAAAATCGGAGGGCGGCGGTGACTCGCCGTTGCATGCTGCTCAGACTCATATGTTTTCCCCCATGATCTATCGACACACACACATACACATATATATATATATATATATAGAGAGATGTGTGTGTGCATCTCTCTTTCTCTCTCCCACCCTCCCTCCCTCCACATACCCTGCCGAGATCTTCCTCAGCCACTCCTTCCTTCTCCTGCTCCATTTTTCATCTTTCCTCGTTGCTCCTCTGTCGTCCCCTGCCCCCCTGCGAACTGCCGCTTCTCAACACCAACGTCATGAAATCCGCCGACACTGTCGTCCTGTCGTTGTCGCCGCTCCCCCTTAAAACAATCCATCCAGAAGGACATCCAGCAATATCCGCAATCGAGTCGAGGGAAAGCCTCTTCCCCTTGATCCCTTCCCCGAGGGGGGGGGTCCCAGGGGGATTAGGGGGAAGGTCCGTGGGGAGGTCCCACGGGTGTGTGGCGGGAATATCGGGGGGTCTACGCCCGTATTGAAATGAGAAGAGGCGCGATGAAATCTTGGGAGATATCATGCCCCACGCAATGGTATCCCCCCCTAGTCATCACTTCCGTCCTGGCCGCCCCCGAAATATGATCCAGTCTGGACCCTCCATCTGTCATTGCACCGGCCTTGCAGACGTGCTGCAGCGGATTTCTGTGGACGTCTGCGTGGATTTTTTGCCCGAAACGGCGAGCGAAAAAACTAAGTGAATTTCGCATTGATTTTGTGTGGCCTTCATTCCTGGCCACAAAAATCCGCACGATATTCACCTCGAAATCCGGAACGGCACCCTGGGCCCACCCGATCGTTTTCCAACCGAAATCCGCTCTGCGATGCTGGCGCCATGAGATCTGGCAGGCGGTCTGGTGGGGAACGAGGCCCAGCCGATCCAACCCAACGACGAGCAAGACGGGAAACGGAAAACAGCATATGCGCACGACGTCGGAAGGCCGCACCTCTCGTCTGCAAGGGGTCGGCGGGATGGCTCAGGCCACAGGTCGGACGTGTCCTCCTACAGGGGCATTATGGATGGAAAACATGAGGAATAGTTTCAAACATGATAGACAACTTGTCGCCAAGACATGTTATATAATTTTCTCTGAATATTCCTCCTGTAAAGGGAGGCGCCCGACTTAACTCAAGCCTCTTGTACAATTTAAGAATGATAGAACAATTGTCCCCAGACCGTTCTTCTCCTATTTTTGAACATTCCTCCTGTAGAGGGACGCGCCCGACTTAACTCAAGCCTCTTGCATGCACAATGCTTGGCTTCGCTGGTGCGTGCCCGGGACAGCTCTGCAGGGGATCGCCCCTCAGCGCGCAGATCAAAGCCCCCCTTCAGAGCGGAAACCACCCGGCCCCCTCCGCCGCCTCCAGCCGCCCATCCTTCCTGGGCTGCACTCTTCAGACCTCCGCCGGAGTGTCTTGGTCGCCCCGCGGACCCCGGAGCCCTGTGCGTGCCCCTTCCCGCGGGCCAGTTTTCCATCCGGGGTGCTCACAGGCCTCCCGGAGGCAGAAGCAAACTGACTGTGGGAATCCTCGAGATGGACATCGATCGAAGAAGAAACGGCGCCATACACATAAACTTTTGGCGCTCCGCGGACCCCCCTCCCTGGCGCGCGGAGCGCGCCAGGGGCGGCGCTGGAGGCACCGCCGAAGCGCGGACCCAAGAAATCTGCGCGGAGCGCCACAAGGTTATGTTCATGGCGTTTTTTTCGAATCGGGACAAGACGATGCCAACCCTAGGGATGGGCATAGGCCCAGACCTCAAAACAGGACAGGCTCCAGGGAAGGAGCGCTCGAATAGTGGTCTCACAGTGCGCCTCCTGGAAAGTCATGGCTGCGCCTCCATCGCTGGCTCCCCCGCGCTGCGCCCCCTCCACGTGCGCGTGGGGATGGCCCCTCCCTGGAGCCAGAAGGGGCTAAGGAGGAGGAGGAGGAGGAGGAGGAGGAGGAGGAGGAGGAGGAGGAGAGTGAGGAGGAGAAGGAGGTGTGGGTCCCACGCGCGGGCCTCCGGGGGCCTTCGCACGGGCGGTCACTTTTTTCTCCGCGGGCCCCGTCTGGCGCGCGGTGCACGGCCGAAGAATGCGTCCGCCCTGGCGCCTCCAGCGGGCAGCAGGGAAACCACCGAAGGAGAGGCCATCCTTCTGGTTGGCCTAAAAGGGGGTCCAGCGAAAAGGGGGTGGTGCAGTAGTCAAGGGGCCCTAGGACACACACACACACAGAAATACACACAAATGAAAGGATTCCCCATATTTTCCCATAGATTCTCGGTTTTTTGTCTTCCCGCCCAGTTCCCATGACCTCATGCCCGTGAGAATAAACACTAGGGGATAATAAAGTTCGGGGTTCAGGGAGAGATAATAAAAGTAGCCCAGCAGACCTCAGCATAATCTCGAAGTAAGAGATGATCAAGAGGAGACCAAGCCGAGCACGTTTTGAGACATCCTTGGCGTTTAGTTTTCATAGAAATATCCTCAACAATGGCTTATCTCTCATGAAAATTGTTTTTTTTTGTAAGTGCTCGTGTAGGGTAGCTCATGTGCCTCAATTTCCATGGATAATCAACCCCAGAGATAAAAAAAGTTCAGGCGAGCGTGGGGACAGAGAGAAATATAAAAGAAGAATAATACAGTAGAAGAATAATAAGAAAGAAGAAGAAGAGGAGAATAAGAAGAGGACGAAGAAAGGAAAAATCCAAAGTTCCAAATCTATCAATTTTAATTTACAAACGCTTTATGAAAATTGATTTTTTTAAGTGCTCGTGTAGGGTAGCTCATGTGCTTCATTTTCCATGGATAATCAACCCCAGGGATAAAAAAGTTCAGGCGAGCGTGAGGACAGATAGAAATATAAAAGAAGAAGAGGAAAGTAGAATAATAATAAGAACATTGCTCGTTTCGTTTGAGTCTGCCTCCCAAAATTATTGGTTTCGCTTGACACATCCTGAAAAAGTGTGATCGCTTCGCTTGATGTTGCTATATCAACATCGCTTGATGTTGCTATCTCAACATAGCGTTTCGAGGTGATAATGAAGTTCGGCCTCAGCGCTCGCCGCCCAATTTGAATTTTGTATAGGGCGACGATAATCAACTCTAAACACTGAAGGGGGGGGTCCCTTTATTATCATCGGCATGCGGTTAGTTTCCCATATTTTCTTGGGGGTTGACGATTAATTGTGTCTGTGTGATTTTTCCTCTGCTGATGTAGATTTGGTGCAATAGAGGCGTGGGGCTGCAATAGGTTTGGGGTGTGCAGCGCATTCCGGTGCGCAAAGGCATTGCTGGGCCCTCGCGTGCAATACATCAGCTGCAAGACGATGCAATACGATTCTCTGGCGCGATACAATCGCAGCACGATTGCCCCAAAACCTATTGCACCACCCCTTTTTTCAGCTGGACCCCCTCTTGGGTCATCCGACATCCGCACGTTAGTCATAGTCCCGGGCTCTCATCACAAGGGCGGGGTCCAGGAAGGCCCTGCACACCACGCAGGCGACGATGTTCATGCGCACGGCCACCGTGGAGCCGCACTGCCAGCACGCCGGCGACTCGTGTCGCCCCCTGTCGGCGCTCGGGGCGCGTCGCCCGCCTGTGGGAGGAGCGGGAGGAGAGAGAGAGAGGAGAGGACAAGGCCCTCCTCCTCCTCCTCCCCCTCCTCCTCCTCCTCCTCCTCCTCCTCCTCCTCCTGCGGCAAGGCGGAAGACATGCCGCGATGCCCGACCAGCACAGGAGACGCCGTGGGGACTCGCGGGGTCCCTGGCGGCCCCTGGACATGCGTGCTCGGCCGTTCGCCCCTGCTCTCGCGGGAGAGAGAGCAAGACAGCCCGTGAATCCTGGAGCGCATCTCGGGGATGGACAGAACCCCCTTTAGCAAAACGTGGTTTAGTGAAAACGACCTCGGGCCCAAACCCGGCGGGCGCAAGCCTGGAAAATAACGGCCACGGCGCCCTCTCGAAAGCCGAAAACGGACAATTCACTAATCGACGTGTCACTGTTGGGGGTTCTGTCCAGCCCCGAGCATCGTCGGCACGACTTCCCCAGACCAGCGACGTCCTGCCTTTCTCGGGCCGGGCGAAAAGGGGGGGTAGCAAAGGGGGGGGGGGAGAATCAGCTCACGTAGCTGATTTTCCCGGCGCCTCCCGGCGCCGGAGACCGCCGTGTATCGAGGAATGGGCCCCTCGGTGGGGCTGAAACCAGCTGCATGTAGCAGATCTCGTAGCCCCCCCTTTCCCTATCCCCCCCTTTCGTTCGGCCCGACTTTCCACTGCGCAGTGCCCTGGAAGTCCCGCAGCACCCCTCGACGGTCCCGGGACCGAGCCCGTCGAGAGAACCCCCAGGAGCCGAGAGAGCAGCGAGAAACCTCCATCACGATTCCTGCATGGCGGTGGCTGTCTCGGTCTCGCTCCCCCGGGAGGGCCCCCCACGGGCGGACCCCTCCTCGAGGTGTTTCTCTGTTTAACTCCACGCCCGCATCGAAGTCCGAGCGGAGGAGGAGGAGGAGGAGGAGGAGGAGGAGGAGGAGGAGGCGGAGGCGGAGGAGGAGGAGGAGGAGGAGGAGGAGGAGGATCGAATGTCCCCACCTAAATGAGCGGGTGGTGCCCGCTCCTCGAGGTGGGGACCTCCGAGCCCTGCCGCCGCCCGCCGTCGACTCTGCAGGATCGGCGGAGGGTTCGACTTCCGCCGCGCGGCTCGACGGGTTCCGAGCCCTGGCCCCGGCCGCCCCTCGAGTTGCCTGAACCCTCACCGCCACCGGGCGCCGCGGTGGCCTCCAAGGGGCACGAGGTGGCCCCGTGGCGGCTCAGGAGCGGCGCAGGAGCGCCCCCAGGACTCCTCGAGAGGGCTCGAGGATGGCCCAAACGCCACCACGGCCGTATCGCTGAGCGGCGAGGGCAGGGCTCGGATTGCACCACTGAGCGGGGCCTCTTATGGCGCATTTGGGGGGATCGACCTCCGCGGCCGAGCAGTGTGTTGTGCCGATCACGACTCGCTCCGAGGGGCGGATGCTCTGCCTGTATATCCTGGAGAGGCGGGTGCTGTGGGGCAGAGTCGGGCCCAGGACGGAAGAACATCCTTCAACAACATGAGACCCTCCTCCGGCCAAAACACCCTCCCCCGGAACGCACAATAACATGCAACAAACACGAAGAGCAGTAGGGTACACTCCCCGAACCGACCTCGATATTTCACCGCGGCCCGACGGTAGGACGCAACTCCTGGGGGGTCTTCGTGAGAACGACTTCGGGGAGACTGAGCCCGATTCAAGGGGCCATGGGAAATCACTGGGCTGGAGTAGGCCCAGCAACAAGCCGGACGGAGCCAGATTAAACCGGATTCTGCCAGATGAGGCTGGCTTTCGACCGCGGATGCACCGGCGCCGATCCCGAATTCTCCATCCCTGATCATCGTTTATCCGATCCCTATCTCCAGCGGCGTGGCCTGGGCCCCACTGGCCGATTTACCACCCTGGATGGTGATATAGGCCGTTCCCTTCGGGATTCGAACTGTTTATCCCCAAGTGGGTGGGGAACTTGGTGGGAGTCTCGAAGGGGATGGGGATGGGGATGGGGGTCGGTTAAGCGATACTGAGTCCCAGGAGTGGCATCCTGACGTGGCTGCTGGGCACGAGCTGCCCCAGCGCAGCGCTCGACTGGCAGGGGAGAGCGGGCCTAGAAGGGCAGGGGGGCGGGGGGCGCAGGGGCGGCCAACATCTGCCCAGGAAACAGGAAATTGAAGGGGCCCAGGGACACACTATAGTTTCCCATATGTTTTGGATTTTTGTCTTCCCCCCACTTCCAATATGTTCACATATTTTCTGGGGAGGCGAGGATTAATTGTGTCTGTGTGTTCCCCCCCTCCTGAATCTGCCCAGGAAACAGGATATCAAGATCGGAACGTGCGTCGGATCGAGCCTCCTCGGCACGGAGCCGGGAATGGAATCGGGCGGGCCGCGCCAGGATGCACAACGGCGGTTCAGCTTGGCATGACTCGGAGGAGGGCCCGTCGAGACAACGGCGGCCCTCCATGGCGGTTCTCGTATTGTCGGGACTCCTGGAGGCTTCTCGTCGCCCAGTAAAACGCATCAGCATGGACAAGGGGGGGTCTGGGGTCCGATCTTGAGTGGGGCGGGAGAGTTGCGTCGTCGTCGTCGTCGTCGTCGTCGTCCTTGTCCTCGTCGTCGTCCTCGTCGTCGTCGTCCTCGTCGTCGTCGTCGTCGTCTTCCTCGTCGTCCTGCTCCGAATGAATTGGCCGCACGCACAGGGGGGCAGGGGTAGGGTGGGAGGTTCCTTGGAAGGAGGCTGCTGCTCAGAAGGCACCAGCCCCACATCTGCAAACAAGGCCCGCGCCTTCTGAGAAGCAGGGGTGCCTACAAAAAGCCGCCCCCCCCCCCTCCCCTCCCCCCCCCCATCCCCCTCTGCGCGTGGCTGGAGCGAATCGCTCTTCGGGAGCAGCGGCTTCTGATACCGGCCCAGGCCTTTGCCCGAACCCTTGCCTGCTTGGCCGCGAGCACCGCTGCCAACATTCACGTCGCCCATGAGGCGCACCTTGGTCGCCTGCGGCTTCCCGTCCTTCGCTTAGGTTGAACATGCCCCCCTAAACTGGGATTTTGGACGGAAAATCAAAAATACCACAAACATGTTCCAAACTGGTTAAGAAATCGTCCCTAGACTGTTTTTTACTATTCTCGAATATCCCCCCTGTAGAGGGACTGGCCCGACGTAATCCTTCGTGTACGTGAGGTCGAAGGTGACGCGCACGACGTCCTGGGCCACCGCCTTCGGGACCTTGGAGGCGTCCTTGGTGTTGGACTTGTGGCCGATCCAGAACTGGGGTGGCCCACCGTGGATGTGCTTGGCGTGGAGGAAGATGTCCTTGCCCTGGCAGGGCTTCCTAGAGATCCCCTTTGGTGGCGCCCCCCAGCGAGGGCGAGAGCAGGGAATAGGGTGGTAAACTTTTGGCTTTCTCTCGATAGCGATGATGAAGATAATGCGACATTATGATTGTGATAACGATGATGATTACGATGATGGTTACGATGAGGATGGCAACAACGTTTACCACAACGCCTTGTAACGCCTTGTAACGCCCACAACGTTTACCACCCTATTCTCCCTACCTCGCGAGGGCCCCACCTTCGGCGCAGCCCTGCCCTCGACGGACGCTGGCGGACGGCCCCGGGGAATCCGGCAGCACTGAGGGGCCGCGACTTCTCATTGTGGGGGCGATAGTCGTGAGTCGGGCGTGTCCTCGACGGGAGAGAAATTCCAACAGATTCTCAACATAGTCTGGGGACGATTTAACTATTTCTGACTCCTTTTGAATATGTTTGACTCTGTTGTATTTGTCCTCCAAGATTCGTCTGTAGGAGGATATGCCCGACCTAAAGATAACTGGGGGGGCAGCGAGGGCTGCAGAAAAGGGCCCCCTTAGGGCCCCTAAAAGGGCCCTCTCGGGCCCAGAAGGGGGCCTCGAGGGGGTCCGAAAAGGGAACCTCTCTCCCTCCCCCACGTCTCCCCCCCAGGAGCCCGCGCCCATGTCAGAACGTCTGCGCGTCCGCCGGCGGAAGTGAAAGCGAGACGCCAACAGGTTCGCATGCGGGAATCATGGAGTCGGCCATGTCTAGGGAGCCCACAAAGGACGTACGCGCCCAGCTATGTACATGAACACGACCCTTCGATCCGCGAGACGGGCCGCGATATACGCTCATTTGCGCAATGCGTACTCTCGAAACCAGCGTGGATTCATGTACGTGTACGTCCTTCTGTCGCTCCTGAATGTCGTGGCGCAGCAGGAGCATGTCCGACGGCTGGGCCGGACCGCACCCAGCGCAAACCAGCTGGACAGCATGCAGGCGAGCCTTCCCCACGAGAGCATCCCCGCCGGCAGGCGCCCCCGAGCCCGGTGGACACTTCAGACGCCGTGGCCACACAACCCTGGCAGCTGACATGCAGAGAGGGGGAGGCTGCGCACAGGAAGGCCAGCAGGAAACAAGACGGAAATCAGGCAGCAAAAAAGCGTCCAGCCGAGCCATCCCCAAACAAGTGGTACCCCTCTCTCCTCCTCCTTGTTTCTTTTTCGTCGTCGTCCTCCTCCTCCTTATTCTTCCTTCCTCCTGGCCCCCTCCTCCTCCTCCTCCTCCTCCTCCTCCTCCTCCTTTCCCTACTCCTCCTCCTTCTCCTCCTCTCCCTCCTCCTCCTCCTCCTTCCTCCTCCTCCTCCTCCTCCTCATTTCCTTCATTGCTCACGCCTCGCTCTCCCGGAGCTTCCAAGGTCACCCCCTGCGGCCTCATGCCCGAAGAATCTCCTCCGACTCCTGTTCCCCCCGCCCTCCTCCTGCCTCCGCCCCCGCCTCCCTTCCTGCCCCCTCCCCGCTGCTCCTCCACCACACTTCCTCCAGCCGTCCCCTCCGCCTCCTCCTCGCGTCAGATCCCTCCCCCTTGCTCCATCTCCCTCCCCCCTCCTCGCCCCGTCTCCTCTTCATTTTCCTCCTCCTCCTCCTCCTCCTCCTCCTCCTCCTCCTCCTCCTCCTCCTCCCGCTCCTCCTTCCCCCCCCTCCTTCGACGACGGCGACGACGAAGACGGCGCGCGAAGCAGCACTCGTCGCCGACTCCGAGGCCGCGGCCGGAGGCTCCACTCCCGCCCCTTTCACTCGATGGGGGAACGAGGATGGCGGGCAGCTGGCCCTGGGTCGATCCGAGAGCGGCGATGCATCGCCCATGGATCGGCGATGTGCACCCGAGAGCGAACCCGCACGTTCCTGGCCGGGGTGGGCCATACGGAGGCCTCCTAAGTCGGGTCCGAGTAGATGAGGTCGGAGGATCGCGCTGCATCGGCGATGCATCGGCGATGCATCGGCGACGTCGGCGAGGCATCCGCCCTGTCTCCTCCACCGTCCCGTCATCGCCCTCCACAATGGCAGAGCCCTGTCCAGGCCTGACAAGATGTGACCCAGATGTGGGAAGCCACGCTCGGGCTATGAACAGATACCCCGATGGGTCGTAGATGATCCAACGCAGACTTCCGATCGACCCAAAACGCATCGAGGTTGTTTTTCGACGTGTTTGCTGATTGCCAGCCAGCCCCAGATCTCCTGGCCCTCGTCGTCCGCGTCTATGAAGCCCCAGCCTTTGTCTGCGTTGTAGATCCGGATCACCCCCGTGATGTTCCTCGAGGCCAGAGTCAGTCGCAACAAAGACTGCATGCTCTGTCCTCGTGACCCTCCTCTCTCCTGCCCTCTGTTTCATCTCCCTCCTCCTCCACATCCGCTTCCCATAACCGACTCCACGCACCTACTCCTCATCCTACTTCGTCCTGCGGACTCTGCCCCCTGCACCTCCGCCTCCTGACTCTTCCTCCCACTGCTTTCTCCACCTATCTCTTTCTGCTCCCCCGCCCCCCCTCCACACCCTCCAACCCAGCTTCCTCCTCGCCGCCCTTCTCCTGCCTCCCCCTGCTACAGTCGCACCCCATCCCTTTCTACCCCCCTTCCTGCTCGTCCTTTTCCTTCGCCCCCTCCTCGCTCCTCGCTCCTCGCGCCTCGCGCCTCGCTCCTCCTCCTCCTCCTCCTCCTCCTCCTCCTCCTCCTCGCTCCTCGCTCCTCGCTCCTCCTCCTCCTCCTCCTTTTTCGCCCCATCCCCGTACCACTGCTCGCAAGAGTTGCACCCCAGAAGTCGGCGCGGGGCCCTCGCCAAGCATGCTCGTGCAATTTTGCTCGACCTCGAAGCTCGTCGTGGCTACGAGCCACAAGGCGGTCGCGGCTCCTCCGGATCTCGCCCGCGGCGGCGCCCCCCGGCGGGTTCCCGCGCTGCCTGTTCCGCGGCTGCCACCGCCGTCGCCGCCGCCAGCGACGTCGGCGCCGCTGGCGACGGCAGCGTCGTGGTCGTCGTCAGCGCCGTCAACGGCGTCGGCGTCGATGTCAGCGTCGTCTACGCCGTCGTCAGCGCCGCCGTCGACGACAGCGACGCCGTCGGCGTCGACGCCGTCGCCGCCGCCGTCGGCACCGCCGCCGCCAGTGGTCGCCAGCACGCCGCCTCTTCTGCGGCCGTGACGGGCTGCTCGGCGACACCGGCGCCGCCCCCGCGGCGGCCTCGCCCTCGCCGTCGCTCATCGCCGGGCCCCGCGGCCTGCCGGCGCCGTCGCCGGCGCCGTCGGCGTCGCCCTGGCTCCTTGTTCGAGCCCTGGTGGTGTGAGCACCAACGCCAAGACAGAGGGTTTCCTCCACCAAGGGGACATGATCCTGGATTTGCGTGCTGGTTGTATCTGTCGGCCACCTGGAAAGCCCAAATATTCCCACCGCCGCCAAGATCGGGACAATTCCCTCTCGGTGGAGGCAAGCGCCGATACAGTCAACCTGCTACCATAGGGAAAGTTAAATCAGGAACGAAGGACCCTTTTGGCACCTGGATGCACGAGGCGGGCCGGAGCAACCACACAACGACCTCAGGGACGGCGAGCCCCCCCCCGAGCCAGAAGCGGCTCACATACTTCGACGTCTTGACTGCATTGGTGTCGGTGCCAACCTCTAGGCCTCCGGCGCTGCGCCACTCAGATTTACAAGGGGGACGGATAGGGGGTGGGGGCTGGCCCACGGGGGGAAACATCGAGCAGCTGGAACTAACGAGACGTCGCCGATGCTTACATCAGCGATGTGGCCTTGATAGCGAAACTCCACGCTCCTGGGCGGGGTGGGCGATCACGCCCACATCGGCGATGAATGGGTGATTGCGGGTCGACGCGTGTTCCCCCTGAGGCTATCCCCCCGAACGCTAGGTCGGGCATGTACCCCTACAGGTGGAATTTGGACGAACAATTGAACATAGTCAAAAAATGTTCAAAACATTCTCGAACACATTCGAAAAGTGGTCCCCAATCTGTTTTTGCTCTAAAAAACGAATTGTGAATATCTCCCCTGTAGACGGACAAGCCCGACTTACTGCAAATCCCTTAATTATCGTCTCCCGGATCCGGTTTTTCTAAGCGCCTTTTTTTGTAACTGGGTGGGTCCGTTTTATTAAGGCGGTTTCTTTGGATTGGAGCTTAGGGGGTTCGGTTTATCAAGGCGCCCCGTCGACGAGGGGGGCCGGAAGAATAGGTCGCATTGGAAGGGGGTCTATTTTTTTCGGGGGGGGGGGGTCGATTGATAAGACATGTGTAACAACCCTATATTGAGCAGGGACCGACCGTCCCGGCATCTCTAGAGGCCTACCACGAAATGTTCTTAGAACCCAGAAGCGTTCCAGGAACAGAAACCATGTTCTTAGAACCTGAACCCAGTGTTTGAAAACGAAGCGATCCCAACCAGAAATGTTCTAAGAACATTTCGCGGGAGCCACAACAGGTTCTTAGAACATTGCTTGGTTAGAGGAAAGAGAGCTATGCACATACACCGATTCTGGCCAGGCCCACCCTGGGCCCAGGATCGGTGCATACGCCATCCTGCCTTGGCCAGGAGGGCGCATGCACCGATCCTGGGCCCAGGATGGGCCAGGCCAAGATCGGTGCATGTGCATAGTTCTTTTCGCCCGATTGGTCAGATAATAGGCGCGCCAGGACGCTTCGCCACTGCTTGGACAACGCCGCCCTCGACAGACCCTGCCGCCCTCCGGGCGTCTTCGCCCCGCTGGCGTGCCCCGGGGCCTCACGGCTCGGAGGGCTGCCGCGGGAAGAGGGGGCCGAGGGCTCCAGCCCGGGGAGCCTCGAAATCATCCCCATCATGCGGTCGGCCCCCCTACAGGTAGAGGAAAAAGAACTATGCACATGCATCGATTCTGGCCAGGCCCATCCTGAGCCCAGGATCGGTGCATACGCCCTCCTACCTTGGCCAGGAAGGCATATGCACCGATCCTGGGTCAAGGATCGGCCTTGCCAGGATCGGTGCATGTGCATAGTTCTCGTCGCCCGATACAGGGGGGACTCTGTAAGGAGGAATAAGCAATGAGACACTTGAGCATTTTTTTAATGCGCCCTCCTCGTAAAGGCCGCGCATTCGCTCGTAAGGTGATGTAGATTCCGCAGCAGACTCGGGGGGGAATGATTTTCAAATAATGGGCATCGTGGACGGCGCGAGGAAGGTTGAAGTGCGCCCTCTACTGGGCGCGGTACAATGCGTTCTCTGGAAAACTCTCTGTGAAACAAACGCCGGCACTGAACAAATCACGGCGTAGGAGGTCGAGGTAGGAGGAAGTGCAGACGCGCATCGTGGAAGAACAATCAAACATACCCAAGAGATGCTCCGAAATGGTGAAAAAAATACTCCCAAATCGTCCACAGACTATTTTTCTACTATTTCCGAACACTTCCCCTGTAGTGGGAGAAAGGCCCGACTTGTCCCCATCCCCAGGATCGGCGAGCCCAATGCGATGGCAATATGATTGATATTCCCCCAGACGCTGCGGGAATCCTGAAGATCGGCACCGAGGTAAGCTGATGCCCAACATTGGGATAGGGACATGTCTCAAGCTGGTAATAGCCGGAGAGACGTAAGACTCGGACTTGGGGGGCTGAAGTTGGAATTAGGTGCGAGCTCCCGCTGCAAACATCCTAAGAAACCTGGACCGTCAAAATCCAGGACGCGCGCGTGACCAAGCGCCAGCCATCCGGCCTCATAGGGGCCGGCCAGAGAGGCCCCAGCCGCCCGCTGGGACTAAGTCGGGGCCTGTCCTCCTACAGGGGGAGTGTGGACGAACAAGAAAAAACAATAGTCAAAAAATGCCCACACATGGTCAAAAGATGATGGAACAAAAACGTCCCTGGAGTGTTATTGAGACTATTTTTGAATCCTCCTCCAGTAGGGGGACAGGCCCGACTCAACGCTGGGACATCCTCGTGGACGGGCCCAGACTCAACATGAAGCAAGCGTGAAGTCGGGCCTGTCCCTCTACAGCAGGAATATAATCCAAAACCGTCGAAAAATAGTCGATGGACGATTCTTGGAATATTTTTGACCATTTTGGAATCAATTTGGAGTACTTTCTTTTTTTCGTCCAAAATCAGCCTGCAGGGGGACACGCCCGATCTAAAGCAAGCGGGACCTGAGTGAGAAGGGTCCCTGGTCCCCGGGGGCCATCCCCCTGGAACCCACCTTTCGTCCCGAGCCGTTGTTTGACTTTCCCAGGGCCCGTGGATGGGGGCCCAGAGCCCGAAAGCGGCGAACAAGACTCAGGACCCATTTCCCTCAGGACCCGCTTGCTTCATTTCGGTGTCCGTTCCATGGGAGCCTACGTGGCCCCTGGTGCTGTCCAATTAAAGCCTGATTTGGACAGCATAGGGAACATATTTGGGACCGGGTCTGCACCATATTCGCCCCTTCAACAATAATACTAGAAGAACGAAGAGGGGGAAAAGAAAGAGGAAGGGCGAGGGGGAGCAGGAAGCGCGGAACGCGGTCCAAATGCGGCCCAAACGCTGGAAGACTGATTTCAACGTCGCCGCCCAAGCCACGAACAGACATCGAAGCATGGTGCCTGGCGACGAGCCCCCGAGGAGGAGGAGGAGGAGGAGGAGGAGGAGGAGGAGGAGGAGGAGGAGGAGGAGGAGGAGGAGGAGGGAGGACGAACGGTGCGCCTTGCGCCGCCCGCGGGGCAGCCTTGGGGCCGCCGAGTGGGGAAGCAGAACAGCACCGGCACCGCCACCGCTGCTCCTCGAGCCTCTCCTGGGGCGCGCTCTCAAGACTTCGAGACGAACCCAGCCGTGACGATGAGAGAAGGGTACCAATATCGATACACCCTGCGAAATGCTTAAGAAACCATGGGTTAAGAAATTCATAGTCTCAGAACTTGAGTAGAAGCCCAGAACTTCTATCAAAATCTTGGGATTTACATTGGAAAGTTAAGAATAATCGAGACTCTGGACGAAAACTTAGGTTTTCTTAAGCATCGCCTAAGGTGTAACTTTTCCTCTTTTGACAGACCGCCAATGCCATGCAAAACGCCCGCAAAAGCGGAGAAACCGCGCCCATGCGTCGAGACCCCCCGCGTCCCCGATTTCCATGTTGAAAGCGGGTGTTCGCGGGTTTGAGACGCGGGCGCTTATCATGCAGACGACTGCACTCCCACATCGGCCGCGAAACAAACATTGAAACGGGACCCGAGAGTGCCCCCGTGGACGAGACATCATTGGATGGCCGTTTTTTACGCCAACCTTGGCGGCGCGCACAAGGGGGCAGGGGTAGGGGGGAAGGCTTCTTATGTAGCTGCTTCTCAAAAGGCGCCGGCGATACATCAACAGACAAGGCCCGCGCCTTCTCAGAAGCAGTGGTGCTGCTATTCCCCCTACCCCCATTCTGCGCGTGGCCGTTTTGTTGTGAATCCTTTGGAGGTCGGAGAAGGGTGTGGTATCATGGGGTGTGGTACCAATGCTGAAAATGGCGATGTGATCTACGGTAGCCACAAGCGCGTTGCATCCCGATGTCAGCAACCTTGGCTTTGCGTCGACCGCTTCGACCAAAATCCGAACAACTCATTTCAACCCGCCTCCCATGGGAGGCCCCTCGCCGAGCAGAGCGACCCGACCTGAACGCATGAAAAGCGCCCCCCGCGCCCCCCACACGAGGATCTTCAGACCAAGCACAGACGGCAATGGCCTCGCTTACAGGGCGCCCACGCTTACACACACACATTCGCCAGAATCGCAAACCGTTGACATCTAAAATTGGCATTTGTGGGGGCTGGGGTCGGATTCCCACTTGTCACGACCCCAATATATTGAGCAGGGACCGGCCGTCCCGGCATTCCTACAGGCCTACCACGAAATTCTCTTAGAACTCAAAAATCTTCGAAGAACAACAACAATGTTCTTAGAATATAAGCCC